TCACACACACACACACAGGTCATATTTGATCTGTGTGTGAGGTAAATGTTGACAACTGACCAATTATTAAGCCTGTAAAGATGTTCCAGCGATACCCTTAAAGCTGCAAACACGCTATCCTGGAACACTCACCCCTCCTGTTAGGTGTCATCCCTGGGCCATTTACGCCAGAACCAGAAACAAGCATTGCCAGAAGAAATGAGAGAACACTAAACGTCAGTCGCCGTGTTCTAGGTCCAAACGCCTTTCGTGTCTTTCTGTTTGGGACTCTGGTAGTTTGTCCTAAAGTAGAAGTGGTAGCAGCCGGCTGTTTCTCCTTCTCTGATAATATTGAGTCGCAAACCTCTCACACCATTTGTGTTCTGTTGCTAAATACACGAGTGCATAATGAGTGGAGATCCCAGGTAAATGCGGTGGTTCGGTGACTAACAACCAAATGGTCCAATCATTGGTTTTGGTCCGAGCTGCGTTATTGGCTGTGGTTTTTAGACAACTGCGAGGAAACCACTTTATTATTTATTTTCTTTTTTTTACTCTATTATATATTTATAGCTATACAATGCAGATTTGCTATTGCAGCTTTAATTAGCGGAGGGTGCAGCTTTTGTTTGGGACATCTTGCATGATGTGATTAGAGTGTGATGCAGGTTTTGCTTTTTCATCACTGACGACAGTTTGATGATTTTTGCAGATGAACTGTGACACCAACCCTCTGGAGGCTGGACTGGATTATTTCATCAAACTGAACAAGGCAACTGCTTTTTCATTAAATCATAAATGTAACAGGAAGCCGCAAAGCCGTGTAGCAATACAAGATATTTTATAACAGTTTAGAGCTGCTAAGTGGCAACACAGTTGTGTAAGAGATTAGAGTCACCCTCACGGTCCTGGTGAACTTACACTCGCATTCCTGCCAGGAAACAAAGACTAAACAACTGTTTTAGTCTTAAGACTTCCTGGTATGACTGTATACTGGTGCACGCCATGAAATTGGATGTTATGTGTTTCGGGTGTTCACCAGGTTTTATCCAATCCTTGACATCTTAGATCATAAAATATGTACAGTGTTTTCCGGACTATAAGTCGCTACTTTTTCCCACGCTTTGAACCATGCGGCTTATGATGAGGTGCGGCTTTAGTCAACCAGAAAGGATGGATGCTGGAAAATCTAATGAAGGAACGGTTAAAGGAGCGCTACGGAAAGCGCCCAGGAGGATTTTTTTCACAGTAAAACGGCGCTGCTTGTTTTCCCAGCTTCACCCCGGGATGATGACAGCAACACGGAGAGCGACACTGACATCGCCACAGAAAAGGCATGTGATGAAGCTCTTCTGAGGCTGCTCAACTCTGACACTAGCTGCGTTTTCATGTGGCAAATTTCCTCAATCCGATTGAAATCTTGGTTGATCGGAATTTCCGAATCTCTGTTCACATGGACACGAACTGAAATGATCCGATCATGCCGTGCGTACATATGCACCAAGCATTTAATCCGATTAAATAGGTTGAGCATGCGCAGAGTTGCCTTTCACGAAAGAAAAATTGTAAACAAACGCCATGAAACGAAAAGAAAAATGTAAAAACAGAAATAACAGTTCTTCCTGCTTTCCTGATCCATTTATTCAATTTAATATTTTTATTTAGCTCATAGAAGTTACGTTTTCTTCAGTGAATAACTGCAGATATATGCTTTGCTGCATTTTATTGTTGATTAAAATAAGGGAGGGTTATGTCTGCCTCTTGATCAGCTGGTCTGCGGGTCTGAATTGACAGCTGTTGCGCTGCGCTGCGCCACAGAGCGGGGGTGGGGGGTGGGGGGGGGGTTAGCCTCATGTTTTATTACTGAGCTCTGTTGTGGCTTATTATTAATAACATGTGACGATCAGCTGAAACTGTTGAGAAAAATCTGTTCAAACAAAATAACAGAAGATGTTCAGAAAGGTTAGAAGCCTGTGTTCATCATTAACGAACCGCATCTCAGGTCATCTGCGTTTACGTGCTTTTAACGAACACGGACTTTACTGTCGTCCAGAGTATTTAACCGAGGACGTTTTCCTACCCAACATCAGCCTCCAATCAGGTCTGTAAAACCCAAATTATCCTGTGTTCTTTACAAGCGCGTCTCCATCACCTGCTGCAGAAGCTGCTGCGTTCAAAGCTGACAGAAACGGGGATCCGTGCGCTGCAACCCCCACGATAAACCTGCGTATTTCCAGTACAGATTTGAACATGTTTGTCGAATGATTTGTGCAATAATCAGATTTTTATTTTACTTCCACAAAATGCAAGTTCTGAATTAAATATTACTGAAACGGGACGGCTTGTCGTCGGATTTAAAAGCCGCCGCTCGTTAATTACACCGTCATTTTTGAAGTCAGGCAGTCCAAATGACAGCGGAGAGGCCCGCTGGCTGTTGCACACATGCGCAATGGGCATTATTTTACCCCAACAATCCGAATGGCTGTGCACATGCACGTCAATCGGAATGAAGAACGGAATAAACCACCTCTCTCAATCGGATTGAAATTTCAATCCGATCGGGCCGAATCGGATCAGAATATTCTGATTGACATGTTTACATGCAGAATTTTCAATCTGAATGGGCATTCAATCCGATTAAATATGCGCATGTAAACGTGGCTACTGAAGAAGACAACTTCAGTGCGCAGGAGGATGACGAATAAACTAATCAATAACTTTTCTAGCTTGTTTGATACTGATCAGTTCAGTTACGTTCAGTTAAACTACGTTTTCAATTCAGTAGATATCTGCGGCTTTTAGCCCGGTGCGGCTTTAATTGAGGTGCGCTCTATAGTCCGGAAATTACGGTAGCTTTGCGGCTTCCCATGTCAATATATCTAAATTGAGATTTATATTTGATTTTTCCTCTGGTATTGGTTATAAACACAAACAGTTCTCACCGTGTTTGTCTTTGAGCAGCCAGCAGATTTTATTGGAAAAGCAGCGCTCCAGGAGATCAAAGCCAGGGGGCTAAAGAGGAAGCTGTCCTACCTCTTTGTAGATACTGATGATATTGATCCTGAAGGCAATGAGACTATTTGGCACAATGGAAAGGTTAGCCAAAACGAAGTCACAGAGTTTTATTTTTTTCATTTTTTCTAACTGAATCTGTCTATCATTCTTCCCCTCAGGTGGTTGGAAACACCACATCAGGAGCCTACAGCTACAGCAGCCAGCAGAGCCTGGCGTTCGGCTACCTGCCTGTGGATCTGTGCTCTGTGGGACAGAAGGTGGAGGTGGAGCTGTTGGGAAAGAAGTACCCTGCCACAGTCATCCAGGAGCCCTTAGTCCTAACCGAGCCCACACGAACCCGGCTGCAGAAGAATACCAAGAAAAAAGCATAAACATAGGTCAGGTCATTGCTATAATAAATCCCACTGTGAAGTAAAAAAAAAAAAGAGAAAACCACAAGGTTTGTGTTTGTAGATCAGGAGCCAATAGAAATAAAGCAACTTTTCTTACATTCTTTGACAACTTGATAACAAAGAGACTGAAAATAAAGTGTTTGAAATTATTTTACTGCCATTATGACATCTTTTGAGTGATTTATGTTGTTGAAGGAGTAAATGCCTTTGATTCCACGAATGAAAGTTTAATGTTTACAGGTCAACTGGGTCCTGCTCTTGAGGGATAGCCTTTTAAAAAAGGTGCTTTTGGTGCCCAGAAGACAAAAAGAATAAATGTTGGATGTTTTTTTAATAGTGGGACTTTGACACTGTGACAAGTTGAACTTATTATTCTTAAATTATTCTTAAAGCACATTTATCAAGCAACAAGAACAATTTATAAAATCGTGAAACGATTTTGTCAATCTATTTTAACTAATGCAATAAATGGGTGTATTTTAGCTTCTTGTCCTTGTCATCATTAATGGTTTATAAAGTAATATAAAAAATGATTCTTAATTATAAGTTATTTTATTTTGGTGTGATATACTTTATTCATAAAAGAATAAAATATGTTAATGTCATTTACTGAATAATGTTGCTTGTTTTACTTAGAAATGTAAATTTAGACCTCCCAAAATCACGTGACGTTTCTTCTCTCTCTCTCTCTCTCTCTCTCTCTCTCTCTCTCTCTCTCTCTCTCTCTCTCTCTCTCTCTCTCTCTCTCTCTCTCTCTCTCTCTCTCTCCTGTAATTTGATTGGCTGCTGCGGTGGAGGCGGACGTTTTCAATCTGCGGAACAAGGAAGTGGCGCGTCATGGGATGTTTTTGTCGGTGTTTTGTCTCTCTGCCCTTGTACAGTTAAGGAAAACGCTGCCTCGTCGGCTCAGTAGCCGCTGGTTCAGCTTCAGCCTCTTCCTCCTTCTTAGCCTCGGACTCCAACAGCGCTTCAGAGCTGTTTAAAATGCGGCTCGAAGTCAGAACTCGGGTGCTTTCCTGGATCTTCGCTGCTGTGTTGGTAGTTAACTCTCGCGCTGCACAGCAGCCGAACGTCGTCTTCATCCTGGCAGACGACTACGGCTGGTACGACGTCGGCTATCACAGCTCGGAGATTAAGACGCCCAACCTGGACAAGCTCTCGGCTAAAGGAGTCCGGCTGGAGAACTACTACGTCCAGCCTCTCTGCACCCCATCCAGGAACCAACTGATGACCGGAAGGTACCAGGTGAGGCCTAAACCCTGTCTGGTCCTGATAGGCGGGACACGTGCTGATTAAACATCTTACCTTCTTGCAAACCTTGATGATTAGTTTGCATTTATTTATTATATGTTTGACTTTTTGCTCAATAAGTCGACTAGCGGTCTAAATCTGAACTTAAAAGTTTCAGTTACATCACGCTGTGTGGGGTACCCCAAGGTTCTGTCCTGGGAACACTCCCACTTCTGTGTTGCCTGTTCCAATTGTAAATTGTTAAGTAGTGGACAGCAGAGGCTGACCGATATGGTTTTTTAAGGCCGATATCCAAAGCCGATTATTAAGGCCGAAGGTCCTTGGGTCCTTTCTTCAATCTAGTGGTGGCTGAAGTTGGTCACACAGGTGCCAGATTAAAAAAAATTTTTTTTATCAGCTTTAGTGGGCCACACTCTGTTTACTGCCACTGGCAGTCAGGAGGGAATGAAACAGAACTGTTGTTATCGTCCATTTATCGTTATTGAGGTTAAATTCTCAATATATCGTGATAATAATTTTAGGCCATATCGCCCAGCCCCAATTGATATGGCATTATATTGTGATATTTTTTCCTGCAATAGTACATCAATATTCAAAAGCTGTGTATCTAAATTTTGGAAGAAAGAACATGCAAACATTTGTGCATTTTCTTTTCTTTTGGTTCAGATACCTCATGTTAAACATGTTAAGTATCAGTTTGGACTGTTTATTGAAATTTCCTAAAATAAATTCAGTTTAAAAAATCACTAATAACGCCTGAATGGACGTATCACAATATACATGTTGTATCATTTCCCCTGTATCATGATACATATTGTATCGCCAGAAATTCACCCATACACATCCCTAGTTGCAGGCAAGGCCACAAATTCTGTGTGTAGTTTGAGGGGCGTGGTTAATTGGCCTATAAATGTAACTTTTTTAAATCTCATTTTTTCTTTAACAATTATATTTGCTAAAAGTATGTGAAATGTTGGTATATGATGATTTTTAGACAAAATTCTATTTTAAATATGTCAAACTTTGTTAAATGGAAGAAAAGTAAGCTAAATATCATACAACTGTCAAAGTCTTTTGCACAAAAATGTTTTAATCTGCGTCCCATAAACATGTGGATTATAAATGCTGAGTAAATAAACTAACTTGCATGTTGATGGAAAACAGAACAGGAAAACAAACCTACTTTGTTACATTTATTTTGTAACTTTATTCACCATAACACAGTTCCCTCTTTGCTCCTCTTGCAACCGTCTGTTTTAACATCCCCAGATCCACACGGGCATGCAGCACCAGATCATCTGGCCCTGCCAGCCATACTGTATCCCTCTAGATGAGAAGCTGCTCCCTCAGCTCATGAAGGAGGCAGGCTACGACACACACATGGTGGGCAAGTGGCACTTGGGCATGTACAGGAAGGACTGCCTGCCCACACGCCGGGGCTTTGACACTTACTTTGGTTAGTACGGTAGCATTTAATGTGCATTGTGTCACAAATACAGACACCAGTTGGCTGTTTTATTAATAGCAACAATCATAAAGGCTAATAACTCAAAACCTAGCAGCTAATCTCAGTATTTTATACAATACTGTAACACCCAGCAATGGTCAGTTTTTAGGTACTGTTTGACCATTCAACATCTGGTCAAAAAGGAGACGCGAGACTGCATGTGTCCCCTCTAAATCAGCCTGCCTTGTAGAGGTGCTGAAAAAAATCGATTCAAGTCTGAATCGGGATTCTTATTTATAAAGATTCAGAATCGATTCACAAAAACTCAAATATTTATGTTACAGGTTTGAGATGCACTCTTTTGATGTTTCTTAGGAGAGTCAGTACTCTGTTTACTTTTGTGGTCCCATAAATTGAGATGATTTATGTTTGAATCTGCTGATGAGAGGGCACTTGAATGTAATTTTTTCCATACTCAGAAATTTGAGATATTCTCATATTTATTTTCTAAGTTGATAAATGAGTACTCAGGATTACTCATGTAACTTGTTTCTACACATACTTGAAAAGTATTTGACCGTATTACTTTCAAAGCTACTGTTAGGTAACTACAGGTTTTTTATATTTTACAAGGTAAGCAAAAATAAATGTTGCCTTTTGGTCAAAAGATAGCTTCTGTTTACAGTTTTAGAATCACTTTATTTTACATTGTAAATTAGCATTTTTGGAGCATGACCAGTTTAAACTCAAATAAAAATGTCCCATAGCTTTAACTAACTTGTACAACAAAGTAGTTCATCCTGGAGCTGACACTCTTTGTTAATACTGATTGTGAATCGATTTAAATTGAGAATAGAGAATCGATTCTGAATCGAATCGGCACCCCAAGAATCGGAATCGAATCAAATCGTGAGTTTCTCTAAGATTCACATCCCCTTCATCCCACCAGCTGGAGCTCAGAGCCTGCAGCTCTGAACACAGATAACGAAGTGTCAGTAACAATGTTCCTTCCAAGGTCCCTCACAGAGCACCCTTTTATCTAAGACTCCTTGCTTCACAGAAGAAAGAAGATTTAAAATGAAATATGAACTTCTAAAACTTATAAGCTAGATAATCATTAAATAAACATTTGTTTATTGCTACTTATAATAATTATAATGAAATGCTTTCATTAATCTGTGCTCAATGATTGGAGTTGAAATGATTATACCGTAAATCCTCTAATACAGGCCCGGGCCTGTATTTGACTCAAGCTCATCAAGCTCCAGGCCTTTATTGGAAGGAGGGCCAGTATTAGAGGCAGGCCTCTATTTCTATTTGAGCAAAATGAACTAATGGTTTGCTGGAGTTTTTGACAATTAAAATTGTGCCCACATTTTCAAAGTTAAACACATTTCTTTTAACAACGGTAGTTCTTGCTTCAGCCCTCTCCCCCCTCCCCCTGCGCAGCGGCCGCAAACTCACTGATGCGAGTTCCTGCTGCTCTAAACATTAAAATAATTATTTCATTTTCTGTTCCTCACTTCTGATTACCTTCAATGGTGTCTGTTTGTTGCAACCAGCAGGTACAAAAACTAACTTGTTTTTATTTGACTATTTTTCTGTCCTGTCTGTTTATTATCTTCCTGCATCTCCTCTCTATCCTAAAGAAAAACTGCTACCTGGGTTCATATATATTCACCTCATGAGTTACCTTTGAACTGCAGTTCTAAAAGATCTACCGACCGCAAAAACAGCGGAGCGCTCGCTGTTTGGCGGCCGTATCAGTGATCAGTGCGTCGGAGGACAAGGTGATGCGCGCAGCGCCCCGCTCCACAGCAGCGATACACATCAGGCGCAAATAAAAGACAGAAAACATTAAAGGAAATGAACTGACATGAACGATCGCGTGTTAAATTAGTTTTTGAGGTGGCGACACCTGATTGTTACTGTGACCGTGCTCAGGACGCAGATCTACCGACCGCGAAAACAGCTGAGCGCTCCCTGCTTGCCGGCCGCATCAGTGATCTGTGCGTCGGAGGACAAGTTGATGCGCCCCGCTCCACAGCAGCGAAACACATCAGGCGCAAATAAAAGACAGAAAACATTAAAGGAAATGAACCGACATGAACGATCGCGTGTCAGTACCTACGGTCTGGCACAGGGCATTGCTGATCACAGAGAATGTGATCATACGATAATTCAATAGGGAGCGTGGTTTCACAGATGCGGAAGTGATAGCGTCGGTGAAACGCCGGCTGCTCTAGGAAACCCCCGAGCGTTCGAGCGTCAACGAAGTGACACGGAAATGCCGGGCTTTCCAGAAGTAAGTAAGATAACTTACTATGAGCTGATAGTTCGTTGGATTGATTGGTAGGTTGGACCTCTGATCATGAATCTGAAGAAACGATGACTGAGTGGTGAGCTGTAAAGGTGACTTCCGTTTATAGCCGCAGTTTGTGACGTAGGTGCGAAGTGAAGGGAATCCCCGCGAGGGGCATGCTGGGAGTCCCTACTTCGCGGATTTTCACCTATCGCGGCCAGGTCTGGAACGCATCTACCGCGATAAACAAGGGATTACTGTAGTTCATACACCCCCTACTGCTGCTCCCCAGAGTGTTCTGCAGCATAATCAGCACATTCTCTTTGAACTTGATAGTGTAATGACCTGGCTGGGGTTGTAAGCCAGGTGCATTCTGGGTATTGTGTTATATGTGTTTCCTATCGTTCTGCTAGTTCCTATGTCCTGATTTGCGTGTTGTGTGAGTGTTATGTAAGCCACAGGGAAGGTGATGTGTGTTCTGTGGAGCGGGTTGAATTAGCATGGTTAACTGACACCGTGACTCTGTGTGGTAGGAGCGTGATAGAGGATCGTGTCTGAAGCGTTACAAAGCTTGAAGAAAAAGCCTAATAAAGGTCTGCGAACCCCTATTGCCTCCTGCTGGTTGATTTGGGGACTATAACCCTGCCGCTGAGACGCTCATATTTGCTTGTTACCACATTCCATCCGGCCACAATAGGAGACCGGCCATTATTTACCTCCACTGACTCCGACACCGGCCAAAATTGGAGGCCCGGCCTTTAATTGAATACCGGCCTGTATTAGAGGATTTATGGTAATTATGGTTACATTGATTGATATATGTTTCATCATGTTTATTTGACAAGGTCATCACCATTTGCACTCACACAAGAACAAGTAAGGTAAAGTTAAACCCATGACACATAAATAGTCTTTTACCCAAATCAGAGCGTCCGGTATCAAGGAAGGCGTGTTTGAGATTCTTGGTAATATTCCTCAAACTTGTCAACCTCTGGTTGGCTACACAATCATAACATGAGAACATTGAAATCAGATTACTCAGGTTTTTCCTCCATTTCTTGGGAGAAACTGCCCATCTGAGGAAAAATCTCATAACCCATAAAGCTTTTGACATGTCGTCAAAATCTTTTACACCTGCGAAGCTGATGCAACAAAACAAGTTCCTGCAGAACAAAACTGATATTGTTTAAACTCCTTAAGAGTTCCAGACGCAAGGTTCCATCCGTCTGTGTGACCCAGAAAATGTCCCTGGACTGAAGGCTCGGTGCTACAGTGTTCTACAACCTCGGTGCCAGAGGTCCTCCGACCTCAGCTGACCTTCGGATCCACGAGGGGGTCTTCCAAAGAGGGTGAGGTAGACACACAGATAGTTTAACGCAAACCAAATTCTTTTACATCTAGAACTCAGCTCTCCCAGATACGGAAGTTCTGATAACATCGCATTCACACATAGGTTTCATACATCACAGTAAATGCTTAGTTAACTTGTCATGTTTTAATTGTTGGTAAAATAAATTCTTACTTTTATAAACCTGACTGTTTTCTGAATCAAAACAAAGTGTGTACAATCCCCTAATAAATAAAGAATCATAGAATCTTCTGATTAAACACAGTAAAGACCAGGCAGGGTTGATATTCTATATTTAGATAGAGTATCACAGCTTATTGGTCATAAGTAGAGGTAATATAGATATTAAGCTTTTAAAGCACTCAGTTTACCAAACCCTACAATACCACCTGTAGGTTTGGAACAGATGCATTGAATCTCTTCTTTAAGGTTTATTATTAATAGTTTTATAACCAAAAACGGCGAGTGTGAGAAGAATGAACCCAGGTTTTGATGATTTTGTGGTTCAGGTTATTTAACAGGAAGTGAAGATTACTTCACGCACCAGCGCTGTTATCACATCGCTCCTCTGAACCTGTCCCGCTGTGCCCTGGACCTGAGGGATGGGGAGGAGGCCACCGCCGCCTATAAAGGAGCCTACTCCACTGAGCTGTTTGGCCAGAGAGCCGTCAGCATCATCAACAAACACGAGTCCACCAAGGTGACACTCACTATCTAAAAATACAGAATATGAATGAAAATAAGAAGGTAAGCACACACCTCAGACATGCATGTTCTCTTCTAAATCTTTCAGCCGCTCTTCCTTTATGTAGCCCTGCAGTCGGTGCATGAACCCCTGCAGGTGCCGGAGCGCTACTTGGCCCAATACAGCTTCATCAAAGACCACAATCGGCGCATGTATGCAGGCATGGTTTCATCCATGGATGAAGCTGTGGGCAACATCAGCCTGGCTTTGCAGCAGGGAGGCCTGTGGGACAACACCGTCCTTGTGTTTTCCACAGGTACGTTTCTGACTCGATGCGTAAACTTCCCTTGTCACAGACGGGTCAGTGAAGGGAGTCATTCATCTACCCGGGTCCCCTGTTATTCAGACGGTTGTTGGTGTAATCCCAGCTTGTGGCTGTCTGACTTACGAGCACAACATTTAAAGTTGTGGAACATAGAAAAAATATTTATTAATGATTATCACTGATTATAATCGGTCAGTCTGAGTTTTTCATGCAGGCTGAGCATGAAAATAGTCTCCTACACCTCTCTCCTGCATTAGCTTCTGACACTGTCACTTCACATTCATGGACTCACTCATCCTGACTCCCGACTGGGAAGGCTGAAACAGCAGAGAACGTCTCAGCTAGTAGAAGCTAACTGTTAGCATTAGCGACTCCACCACACAGCAGAACTTCTTCAGGCTTGTGTTACTCGTGGAAATAAAACATGAGCGTTGCAGAGCAAACGGAGTCAGCGGTAGAGTCGTGTTGCTGTTTGCCTGTCTGAGGCGAGATGTCCAAATATCAGGAAATAAGACTCCAAATCCCGTCGTCTGAAGCTACTGCAGTACAGGTGCCGGCTGTGGTGACCATCTTGCATTTGGCTGACTCCAAATATTAACCTTTTTAAAAAATATACTTCCTAAAAGTTTCATAAAAAAGTATCTGAATGCACTTGGACAGACTGTATAAAAATAAACAGAAGTAGGCCTGAAGGCTGGGTGTGAGTAGGTGTTGGAAGTTTTAGTTGAACTTCAGCCGTTTCATGACTTAGCTGACGAAAGCAAAGCAGGAACTTTTTAGTCACAGACCAGAATCCAGTGGTATTGTTTGCTAGGAACACTATTTCAACACACAGAGCAGCTCTCTTGTCTAAACACATCCGTCGCCTTGGTTTGATCGTAAGGATTTGTGTAGCTTTTAAGATTTAACGAGTGATTGATGTTGGTTGTTTTTCCCGAATCTGATTAGCGTTGCAAAAACTATTTGTTACGTTCAAGAATCGATAAAGAACAAAAACTAGGTTCTATTTTTAGCAACAAGACTTTTGTTTTCAGCTTATTTTTTTTACACAACATAGATTTAAAAATCTGAGATATTTACCTGGAAGGCTGTAAATAAATATTTGGGCTGATATTAGTACTATCCAATATTAATACTGATGTTATGGCCAAAAACCCATACTCCGGGTTTCTGCTATGTGTATTTTGCCTCTTCTGTAAACCGAAGTATTCTAGAGTTTAAAGCTACAATCCAGGTTTTTTTCCCCCAACAGCACTTTGTAGAGGCAGACAAATGTAGCAGACCTTAAGCTGTTCTCATCACTTCTGTATTTACGGCTGAAAGCAACGCCTCTCGTTTGTGAACGCGCACCTCTAGTCTGCCAGCAGAGCCACAACACGTTGTTTTACAGTTAATAATCTCACGTTATGCTATGTATTCATGAATATAACTCGTCTCGTCTTCTTCCTCCTATCTGGGTCTGGGTCGTGGGGGCAGCATCCCAACTAGGGAGTTCCGGAGGCATCCTAACAAAAATGCTCAAACCACCTCAACTGGCTCCTCTGGATATGGAGGAGCAGCGGCTCTACTCCGAGTCTCTCCCGAATGTCCGAGCTCCTCACCCTATCCCTAAGGCTGAGCCCAGCCATCCTGCGGAGAAAACTCATTTTGGCCGCTTTTATCCGTGATCTTGTTCTTTCGGTCATTACCCAAAGCTCATGACCAAAGGTGAGGACTGGGCGGTAGATGGGATGGACCGGTAAATCGAAAGCCTTGCTTTCTGGCTCAGCTCCTTCTTCACCACAACAGACCGGTTCAGCGTCCGCATCACTGCAGACGCTGCCCCAGTCCGCCTGTCGATCTCCCTCCTTCCCTCACTCGTGAACAAGACCCCGAGATACTTGAACTCCTCCACTTGAGGTAGGACCTCTCTCCTGACCCGGAGTTGGCAAGCCGCCCTTTTCTGGTTGAGAACCATAAATATATATTTCAATAATATTGTTATTTATGTAGTTCTTAAAAAAAAAAACGTAAGAATTAAAGAAAATTATATTTTCATGACGTACTTGTCTACAGGTCATGTGGCCAACTCTGCATCCGTCTAAGTACATCTTCAAATGCTCGCGCACGCTGTGTTTGACATCTGTGTGTGTAAGTTTATGGCTAATGCAGAAACACGGTCAACTCATCCTGCATGGGGCACTATGGGGGGGCAGGCTTGCCTGCATAATATCACAGAACAGGGTACGGCTATCTACTTTCACGGATTTCTAAAATAAAATCATGCATCTTCCATGACCGGGGAAAACTCTGGATTGTAGCTTTAATAAGAGTTAATCTGACACCTGACGCTTCAACTAAACTTGGTCATAAAACAGTGTTTCCATTAATCAAAGTCCAGACCACAATATGATTGAGTTGTTGTGGTAGGACAGGTCTTAGGGTAGCTGTACAGAAGCAAATGTTTGCAAGCCTGAATAAACTGAAACAAAGTTGTAAACAAGTCGACTAGAGTTCCTCCAAGATGACTTGAGAGGTGATTAAGCCAAACAGAAAAGAAGTCATTTTACTTTTTGCTGTTGAAGGCTCTACAAGCTATGGGATTATTTCAATTATGACTTTTTCCTATTTTTTCAGTTTTGTTGCACTGTGGGTATATAAAATATGAAATGGAACTATTCAGTAAATAAAGACTAGATCTGAATAACCTTTGAACCTGGTAAAGATTGTTTTTATAGTTTGGCAAAAATGATCTCACCTTATTTATTTCACTAACAAATTCCTGCTGCTTTTGCTGTGAAGACTTGTAATACCCTGAAATCTCCACTAGAGAGCAGTGTCTGGTTGTTGCTGCTTTTTCTGTAACTGCTGTCAATTACCCCTTAGATGAAGAATGTAATCTGGCTTCCAACGCGTCATCTAAACATGTGTCTGCAGCAGTTTCCACATGTGGAGCGTCTAATGAATTGCATCTGACGTCCGTAACGACTTTGAGGATTATTTTTAGGGGCGTTTGTGTTTTAAAAGGTAATTAGAGAACAGGAACAATGCTGTGAAAGTGAAGCGTGAGCGTTTTTTATTGTTGTGGTTACCTGAGTTAGGTGGTCCTGCTTCATTGTCCTTCCTTTCATTCCGCTGGCTGTTCTTTGTGGAACAGAAGGTCCCGTTAAATAGCATCCCTACGAATATAAAACGATGTGCAAGTGTGACCAGAACTAAGTCTATCAATTATAGCTTTAAAGTTTTATTAGTCCTGTTATCATTGGCTCATATTGTGTCAGGCCCAACAAAAAACAAATGAGGCCTGAACTTGTTCCCTTTGTGATGCAGTTTTCTGGAAACTTACTGCCTCACTGGGACTTTACTGTAAGCATTTGAGCAAGAAAGCTGTGGGGAAACTGTTGGGGAGCCGGGGAGGACAGAACCGGCCCGCGGAGCGCCAAAGCAGCTTGAAAAGGCATTAAGGAGGAGAGAGTCTTCCAGAAGACTGCCTCCTGAACCTCCGTGGCACTCCGCTGCTGAAAGGGATCCTTGTCTGGATCTGATTGGCCAGGTGTGTTTATACTGGACCGACGTAATGGGATGATGTGTGTGTGTGTGTGTGTGTGTGTGTGTGTGTGTGTGTGTGTGTGTGTGTGTGTGTGTGTGTGTGTGTGTGTGTGTGTGTGTGTGTGTGTGTGTGTGTGTGTGTGTGTGTGTGTGTGTGTGTGTGTGTGTGTGTGAGACCTGTGTAATGCTTGGATGTCATGTGGGGAATCAAATAGATGAGCACTGCTGTGTTGTTTTAATGCATTAGATCATTGGTTTTGAGCAGTTCTGTGTGAGAAAGCGAAGCGTGGTTGTTCGTTGAACCGATTGTTTAGAAATTTTGCCTCGACGTCCACGTTCCTCAGAAGAACACTCCTGTTAATTTAAATCAATCTCCAACTCTTTGTTTTTTAATGGTGTTGAGGAAACATTCTCAAGCACTATCGAACAGTTAGCCCTCAGGTTTTTTTCCTTTAACTTTCTAAATCTGTCTACCATAACATTACATTTTCATCTGCTTAGGCATACATTTTTAATTTCCTCTTGGCTCAGCTTGAAATTCGGTTCTTAAAGACTAGTCATTGATGGGGAGCGGTTGTAGTAGGACACAAGGTGCAGGTAAGTTTGTTGCAACAGCGGGTAGATTCACTGATGCAAATCTAAAAAGGTTAACAGAAGAAAAAGAAATGGCTAGAGCAAAATACAAAACAGACAGGAAGAGACACAGAGTAACCTTCAGGTGGACTCATGATTCTTCCCACAGGATTTATAAATCGTCGGACAGCTTTCCAAAAGTGAGACCACACACGCGGTGATAAAAAAAATCTTGGCAGTACCAGTTTTGAACCTGCTGTTGTAGAAATCTAGACAGACGGTAGCCGAAGCAAAGTGATTTTTCTCAGCATGTTGGTCTATCTACGCTCCACAGGAGCCTCAGTAGGTCTACAACTGGCTTGAGCAGTTTTGTGTTATGCCAATTGCAGCGCTCTATCAGTTTGATGGAAGGGATCGTCTCGGCTTGTTTGAAACAGCTTTGGCGTCGACATTGGAAAATTTAGACTTGGGTTTTTCTTTGAGTCAAGAACAGATAGAGGTACTTCAGTCCTTTATTTAGAAAAAGGAAGTATTTGCGTCATCAACGGTGTCGGTGAATGGAGAACTGCCCCATTGATTGACATCTGTAGTGGTGAGTACGTCATGCTGTTTATTGTCCAATAGCATGGAGGCTGTTTGAAAGACAACCGTAGATCCCGCCCTGTGACTGGGCTCCATGGGTCAGACTACATATTCACGTCTATAGGATGACTTGGCAGGCTATTTGTAGTGTGCAGCCATCTGCTAGAAACTACACATCAAACAATTTCACACAAACATTCTGTGGTCAGACGGGAAATTATGCAAGATCAATTGTGACTTCACAGTTAACAAACATGGCTGATGAGTAGCGTACAGATTGCTTCCATCTTCAGGTTTTCTGGTTAGCTACACGTCGCATACAACAGGCAGCATGCCTGTGTGTCCTTTGAAATTGATCTCTCTGAATTATGACCCAAGTGGTTCCGTAGGCTTCGGAGCAGCAGAGATCTTAACACACCACACACGGCAGGAACATCTGATAAGATTCTTTTTAGAGCTATTATTGTAATCCGATGTGATTGTCAGAAGGAGGAAATTAGGTAAAGTTTTGGTATAGTTATCTTGATGCGTGAACCGGGCCCTACTTGCTCATAGATTTTTTAATTTTATTTATTTATTTATTTTTTTGGGTGCTTTAGTCAGGAAACAAGTTTGCATTTGTAAAAGTAAAAATTTGGTTCTAAATTTTTGCTGCCAAGAATTCTTCACGTACATTAAATCCACAAGTTGTTGAAATTAAACAGAAACTTGCTTTCCCATTTTGTCTGATTGGCAGATAACGGGGGCCAGACGTTAGCTGGTGGCAGCAACTGGCCTTTGCGGGGGAGGAAGTGGTCCCTGTGGGAAGGAGGGGTCCGAGGAGTGGGATTTGTCACCAGCCCGCTGCTGGAAACACCTGGAACTGTCAACCGTGAGCTCATCCACATCTCCGACTGGCTGCCCACTCTTGTGGGCCTGGCAGGTGGGAGCACCAACAGCACGAAGCCTCTTGACGGGTTCGATATGTGGAGCACAATCAGGTGAGCAGTGTCCTGTAGGGGTTGTGTTGGTTCAGAGGCAGATTGTTTTACTTTGTCGTGTGAGCGATAGCTTCTCTTGAGTTTGACAGCCCGCCCTCTCTTTGTGCCTCCTTCCAACCTTCACCCCGCTGCTCATCGGCCCGTCTTCCTGACCCAGCAGCTTTTCTTCTGGGAGCCTCTTTTCCTTCAATGGGCCTTTTGTTGCCGTAGCGATGGGAGTAAAAAAGAAGGAAATTCCATCAGTCATTCTCACACAAATCTTTGGACCTTCTCCTTTAGCCTGAGACGTCCTGCTCAGTTTTAAATCATTTCATTTAAGCAGGAATATATTTTAGAATCTAACAGGGCGTTTGAGTTTTGTGGACTTTATGCTGCAGCTATTAGTGAATCAGTGGGTCACATGGAGCTGTTTGCACACCGCAGATGTACTTTCCATGCGAGTTTGGCTCGTCCCACATCAGAGTCGTGCCTAACTGACACCATGCATTTGTAAAGCAAATGTGGGCGAGGGGAATGAAGTGAAACCAATTGCTGCTGCACAAATGAAAAGTCGAGGCTTGTCCTGATCGTAAACTATCACTGATGGTCGGTAAGTGATTTGATTGACTGCAGCAGGTCAGCTGACCACAGGGCCCGACACTGTTTGTTTACAGCTTTGGGTTTAAGTTGACAGAGTTAAAGCCTAAAAAGCAGGCCAGGAGCAGCCGGCAGCTGGTGCGGAGTGAGAGTTATTTTTAAGCCGTGCTATCAGACCATGTGGTCGGAGTGAGAGTGGTGAATTTTCTCCGCGGTGGAGTGCGGTCGGACCCTGGCAAACAGCAGCCAGCTGGTACAGATTTACAGGTCCCATTTGGTTTCCCAGTGCATGAGTCGGTGTGTGTGTGTGTGTGTGTGTGTGTGTGTGTGTGTGTGTGTGTGTGTGTGTGTGTGTGTGTGTGTGTGTGTGTGTGTGTGTGTGTGTGTGTGTGTGTGTGTGTGTGCATGCGTGCGTGCTAAACAGTATCTCTGCTTTTATCTCACAGCAGAGGGTCTGCCTCACCCAGACTGGAGCTGCTGCACAACATCGACCCTTTGTATGTTGACATCTCTCCATGTGAGTTCCCCCCAGCTAATTAAGAAATAAATCTCTTATTGTATAATTTTATTTATCATATGTGTTTAGATTAGAGCTTATTTGTTGGGTAATAATTAGGGATGTGTATTGGTGAAATTCTGGCGATATGATACTTATCACGATACAGGGGAGACGATACGATATATCACGATATATTGCGATACATTCAGTCGGACGATATTAGCGATTTTTTTTTAGACTAAAATTATTGTAGGAAAATTCAATAAACGGTCCAAACTGATACTTAACATGATTAACATGAGGTATCTGAACCATAATAGAGGGAATTTACGTTTCAGTGGTGGAAACAAACTCCGTTGCACACTACTGCTGACTAGCGGACGGCATTTGATTTGCACCAAAAGAAAAGAAAATACACAAATGTTTGCACGTAAATTCTTCCAAAAAAATCGATACACAGCTTTTGAACATCGATATAACATCGCAGGAAAAAAATATCGCGATATATTGCTATATCGATATTTTCTTACATTACTAGTAATAATGTATGTGAACGCAACTGAAGGTAGAGACCCTTTCCTCCTGAGTTAAGGTTACCTCCACCAGCACATGAAGCTAATCTGGAAAATAATAAAAAATGGCACTCTTCTTGTCCTACTCACTCATTAACGTTATTTAGATTTCAGTTAACTCTCTCTGTAGTTTCAATGGATGTCAGAAAATATTGATACACAAAAATAATGCAATATTTCATGTTTTGATTCAGAATCAATATTTAAAACCAGTGTATCGATTTTTTTTTCTTGAGAATTCGCAAACAAAAATCGACTATTTCTTTTGTGTGGTGCTGTTCAAACTCTGACTGCTAGGTGGCAGCAGTTTTATTGCCTTCATTGTGATGGAATGAGATTGAACAATAAGAAGTCTAAGTCACGCCTATGTACTTCCGGCTCACGGGTCCCCGGAAGAACAAAAATTATAGGTTTTGTGTGAAAATGCATACAGGACTACAGTTGCACGTCACCAAAGTAACGTCATTGAACTGGGCACATAGAAAAGCAGAGAAAAATGGCTGCAAGTTCAGTGAACTTCAAATCCTTCCCTCAGGAGGAAAGAACCACCATAGACATCGGCATGTGGTAAGTAGCAGCTGCGCTGAGAGAGCGGAGCGTCTGTGGTGACGTCGTATATGGGACATACCGGCGTCTGATTTGTATTCATGCTAATTACGAATTTTTACAAGCTGTTAAATCTCAAAGTACATGACTAGCGTGGCCGAAACACACATCATTACTTTTCATTTAAATTGAAGTACAACATATGTGCGATCCAGGATGTAAGGCAAAGCGAATTTGAAAGTAGCGTTTTTAGCCCCGTTGACTTTTTTTTCATTTTTTCGTTCGTCCGGGGACCCGTGAGCCGACCAGAAGGGAGGAGACTCCAGATGTGTCTTGGAAACGTCTAGCCCGAGTTTTCCAATTGAATGCAGTCTTAAATATTTGAAATATTGGAATATATCGTCTTGCGATATATATTGTATCACCAGATTCTTGCCAACACACACTCTTAGTTTCCTTGTTTTAACCACCAGCTGAAACCAAAGAGTGTCATGTTCTGCGGGTGGAGGTGGCAGACCATGTGTGGTGGTGGGTTTCAGGAGGCAGAAGAGCAGGCAACGGATGAAAAAATAAAAATGATTTAATTGTAGAACGGGAGCGAGAGGACAAACGAACATGCACAAAACGACAATGATCCGACGAAGACGGCAACAAGGAGGGAGGTATAAATACACAAGGGAATCAGGAACACATGGGCAGAGTAACGAGGGACAGGTGAGAACAATAAGGGTAATCAGGAGAGACACAGTCAGGGAGGCCGGGGTGGATCATGACAAAGAGTAAGTCTTCAGCTCCATTACCATGAATCATGCTTAGGCTGCTGCCCCCGCGACCCGACCCCGGGTAAGCGGCTGTAAATGGATGGATGGAAAATTAAGAATTGAATGTTTAGAGATGGAGAATCATGGTTTAGATGTGAAATTTATACAGAATACAAGCAATTTACAGCCACTAGTCAACCTAACATGCCTCCAAACTGTAGGAGAATACCTGCACAACAGAAAGTCACAACTCATCTGCCAGAGATGCATTTATAAAACCTGAGATGATGGAAACCTCATGTTTCCTCCTCCTCCTCTGTGTTCATGCTGTGCTGAATATGTGTTCCTTCTTTTTCTGCTGTTGTAAATCTGCAGGTTATTATTTTTTTCCCAGCACGATCATGAATACCAAAGTCTTGTTTCAGTCTGAATTTAAACAGCAGATTAAAGACAAAGCAGGTTAGGTCCTAGGAATTACATAATATCTGACAAACCTCTTTAGATTTAGACTGTGTTTGCTCTGAATGTTTTATATTGTTTGGGTGGCTTATAGAGGGCAATATCATGTACAGGTCCTTCTCAAAAAATTAGCATATTGTGATAAAGTTCATTATTCTCTGTAATATACTGATAAACATTAGACTTTCATATATATTAGATTCATTACACACAACTGAAGTAGTTCAAGCCTTTTATTGTTTCTAATATTGATTACTTTGGCATACAGCTCATGAAAACCCAAAAGTCCTATCTCAAAAAATTAGCATATTTCATCCTACCAATAAAAGAAAAGTGTTTTTAATTTTAAAAAAAGTCAACCTTGAAATAATTATGTTCAGTTATGCACTCACTACTTGGTCGGGAATCCTTCTGCAGAAATGACTGCTTCAATGCGGCGTGGCATGGAGGCAATCAGCCTGTGGCACTGCTCAGGTGTTATGGAGGCCCAGGATGCTTCGATAGCGGCCTTAAGCTCATCCAGAGTGTTGGGTCTTGCGTCTCTCAACTTCCTCTTCACAATATCCCGCAGATTCTCTATGGGGTTCAGGTCAGGAGAGTTGGCAGGCCAATTGAGCACAGTAGTACCATGGTCAGTAAACCATTTACCAGTGGTTGTGGCACTGTGAGCAGGTGCTAGGTGGTGCTGAAAAATGAAATGTTCATCTCCATAAAGCTTTTCAGCAGATGGAAGCATGAAGTTCTCCAAAATCTCCTGATAGCTAGCTGCATTGACCCTGCCCTTGATAAAACACAGTGGACCAACACCAGCAGCTGACATGGCACCCCAGACCATCACTGACTGTGGGAACTTGACACTGGACTTCAGGCATTTTGGCATTTCCCTCTGCCCAGCCTTCCTCCAGACTCTTAGCCTAGTGAACTAGACCAAATTCTTGCTTTGCAAAGTTTGGTCTAGGAACGCTCCACTGGAACCTCTGCAGCACCTAACAGCATTCTGGCTGGCCGATCACAGCTCTCTAGAGGGGTTTCAAACACACACAAATGTGATTGGTCCATAATGGTAGGCCAATCATAGTGCTCTATCTGCTTAGTGAACAAATCACCGAGCTTTATCCGCTTTGTGGGCCAATCAGGGCACTCTATATGCCTGGTGTGTTGGATGATGCAACAGAGTGAAACAAGATGGCGACAGCTTGTTTGAAATGGCTTTTACATCAACTTTGGACTATTAGAACTTGGGCGTCATTAGAATCAGGAGCAGATAGATGTATTTAAGGTGCCTTTTTTTTTTTAGAAAAAATGATGTGTTTTCTCCTTCTTCAACTGCGGACCACCTCAATTACCGATAGCTGTTGCGGTGAGTATGTCACATTCATTGTCCAGTAGCATGCGGAGGTCATTTGAAAGACAATGGTAGAACCCGCCCCACAACTGAGAGCTGTCAATGGAGCGTTGCCGGACTAAATAATACATTTATTTAGTCTGGCTTGCCAGGCTACCAGACTCTGGCACCTTGGTTTCCGCAAAATTTGTTTTAATCCGAAAAAAGTACTTTGGACCACTGAGCAACAGACCAGTGCTGCTTCTCTGTAGCCCAGGTCAGGTGCTCCTGCCGCTGTTTCTGGTTCAGAAGTGGCTTGACCTGGGTAATGCGGCACCTGTAGCCCATTTCCTGCACACGCCTGTACACGGTGGCTCTGGATGTTTCTACTCCAGACTCAGTCCACTGCTTCCGCAGGTCCCCCAAGATCTGGAATCGGTCCTTCTCCACAATCTTCCTCGGGGTCCGGTCACCTCTTCTTATTGTGCAGCATTTTCTGCCACACTTTTTCCTTCCCACAGACTTCCCACTGAGGTGCCTTGATACAGCACTCTGGGAACAGCCTATTCGTTCAGAAATTTCTTTCAGGGTCTTACCCTCTTGCTTGAGGGTGTCAATGATGGCCTTCTGGACAACAGTCAGGCCAGCAGTCTTACCCATGATTGCGGTTTCGAGTAATGAACCAGGCTGGGAGATTTTAAAAGCCTCAGGAATCTTTTGCAGGTGTTAGTTAATTAGTTGATTCAGGTGATTAGGTTAATAGCTCGTTTAGAGAACCTTTTCATGATATGCTAATTTTTTGAGATAGGAATTTTGGGTTTTCATGAGCTGTATGCCAAAATCATCAATATTAGAAACAATAAAAGGCTTGAACTACTTCAGTTGTGTATCATGAATCTAATATATATGAAAGTCTAATGTTTATCAGTACATTACAGAAAATAATGAACTTTATCACAATATGCTAATTTTTTGAGAAGGACCTGTATGTGTGCAGTTTGGATTTTAGAGAATATTAATATTTTTGATTACATTTTTACAAACGTATCATTGACCACTGAGTGTGTGTGTGTGTGTGTGTGTGTGTGTGTGTGTGTGTGTGTGTGTGTGTGTGTGTGTGTGTGTGTGTGTGTGTGTGTGTGTGTGTGTGTGTGTGTGTGTGTGTGTGTGTGTTGTTTAACCTCTGATTGTAGGGAGGGTCCAGGAAATGTGTCATGTGACCAAAAAGACACTGGAAATACAGAGAAGTGGACTCTGGTCTAAACCACTTAATAATCTGTGGACCCAACCACCTCATCCATCTCTGAGTAGTAGTGGGACTCTGGTTTAGGGCAACTATTTCTGACTTTGGGTTAA